GGCCACATGCTTCCTTCGAGAGCACGATGTGTCACACAAAGTCAGTCCAGCTCCTACCCACTGCCAAAACACTCTCCTCCTCCCAGATCAGCTGAAAATTCAGCTTCTCCCAGCACACAGAATGGTGGGTTCCCATGCATCTCCCTTCAAGGAGTGACCAGCAGATGCTGAAAAAAAAGCTGATGCTCCCTCTGGATGAAAAATTAACTGAGAAGCTCAAAAATCCCATCTGGAGTGGTGAGGGCTGATTTTAGCCTCTGGGACCAGCAGTAGGTGCCATCAGTTCCTGGTGAATAGAGATAGCAGAGAAATTAAGACCATACCCAACCATTTACCCAGGTGGATGCAATGGTTGCAGCACTGGGAGCTCTTTCTACCCCTAAAACCCCTGAATAGGGAGTGGAGGAAGAAGAAGGCCACCACCAGCAACTTCATTTCTGGTGCTGTTACAAACACACCCCTCTGTCCCTGCTGCTGTCCTCTTCGTCAGTAGCTGGGCTAAGGTGTCAGGACACTCTGCAGGTCCCAGCTGGCTCCAATGCTACCAGGCACCATTTATCCAAGCACGCATCCAAATTCTCAGGAGGCTGACCACAGCACACACCTCCCTTAGTCTTGCAGGTAATAGTATGGATTTCACAGCCTGCTGGGATGTCCTGGTTTAGTTCAAGTTGAAGAGTGGAAGAACCTCCAAGCAGCACCACCAGCAGGGAAGAAAGGCACAGGAAAAAGGGGCTGAAGTTTCAGTTCTCCTGGCTTTTGTAGAGTATGGCAGGAAGCGGGAGGGAATACTGACCCCTCTCTGTTCCAAGCCTCCCAAGTCCTTTGGGGTCCTAAAGATCTGCTCTCTAGTTCCTCTAGCTGGGCTAAGGTGTCAGGACACTCTGCAGGTCCCAGCTGGCTCCAATGCTACCAGGCACCATTTATCCAAGCACGCATCCAAATTCTCAGGAGGCTGACCACAGCACACACCTCCCTTAGTCTTGCAGGTAATAGTATGGATTTCACAGCCTGCTGGGATGTCCTGGTTTAGTTCAAGTTGAAGAGTGGAAGAACCTCCAAGCAGCACCACCAGCAGGGAAGAAAGGCACAGGAAAAAGGGGCTGAAGTTTCAGTTCTCCTGGCTTTTGTAGAGTATGGCAGGAAGCGGGAGGGAATACTGACCCCTCTCTGTTCCAAGCCTCCCAAGTCCTTTGGGGTCCTAAAGATCCGCTCTCTAGTTCCTCTTATAGGTGTCAACAACCTGCTGGGTCCACTCATACTGTAACAGCCACAAGTGCAGACAAATGATAAACACATTTTTGCTGTATGTTCCTTTCCACCCAAAATACTGTATGAAGCAACAACACCATTAGTTATCCACATTATGAGGAGTCACCGTTTGACTCGGGATCGACAACAACATTCTCGATCCCCTCCCCCTCCCACCCAGGTAGGAAAGGAGAGACAGAAAAAGAGAGAGACTTGGCTGGATTGAAAACTAAACTACACAGCTTTAATTAAACACTAGCGATATAAGAAAATATGTACAATTATATATATAAATCTGCTTAGGAAATGTACAAAACCCCTATTGCTTCCCCCCACCCCCAGCAACTCCCATAGCACTCTCCTTAGCTGTGAACAGTCCCGAAAAGCTCAGGCTCCCCTCTCCCTCTCCGAATCCCGGGCCCAGAAACAGTTGGGGCTCGCTTTTACTGCACTCTCAAAAAGAACAGAAAAGAACAACAGAACGAGAAAATGATGGAAATTAATGGAAAAAGGAATGACAGGAGAAAATGAGCAAATAAAAGAACTACAGAACGAGAAGAGTCTGCAAATTAATGAAGAAAAGAACGACAGAATGAGAAAATGAGGAAATAAACGAATTAATGAATGATGGAACAAGAAAATGATGCAAATGAACGAATAAAAGAATGACAGAATAATAAATGTATGCAAATGAATGAAAAAAAGAATGACAGAATGAAAAAAATGAGCAAATAAAAGAAACAGAACGAGAAAATGATGCAAATCAATGAATAAAAGAACGAGCAAACTAGAAAATTATGCAAATAAATGAATAAAAGAGCAAGAGAACAAGAAAATTATGCAAATGACTGAATAAAAGAACCACAGAACAAGAAAATGATACAAATGAACGAATAAAAGAATGACAGAACAAGAAAATGAGCAAATAAACAAATTAAAGAATGACAGAATGAGAAAATGATGCAAAAGAACGAATAAAGGGAAGACAGAATGAGAAAACGTTGCAAACAAAGAACAACAGAATGAGAAAATGATACAAATGAACAAATAAAAGAATGACAGAGCAAGAAAATGAGCAAATAAAGAACAACAGAATGAAAAAATGATGCAAAAGAATGAATAAAGGAAAGAATGAGAAAACATTGCAAACAAAGAACGACAGAATGAGAAAATGACGCAAATGAATGAATAAAAGAACGACAGAATGAGAAAATAATGCCATGCAGCATATGTCTGCCAAAACACTGAGACAGGTTGAATAAATTACATTTTGAACACTGACCTTTTGCTGCTCTTTTACAATTTCTGCTAGGAATACCGAATTTAGAAAATGGTAAGAATGCAGGGAGAAGGGCACCACCCTCCCTAGGATTAAGTTTCAGTCATGTTGTGGTTTGAGCAACCAATTCTGCAGTTTTGCATCCTAAAGAATGGTTTCAACCCTGTTACGCTGCTTTCTCCCATCCAGAATAAAAACTCCACAAAAAACACCACCAAATAAACCAACCTGAAAACTACTCACACAACTCCTATACTAATTATTTTTCTGTAAGTTAAGGTGAAGCTTTGAGTGAATGCAACATAATTATTTCAAGAGCATCACACAGCTACAGTTTGTGTAGACTTTTAAAGACTTTTCCCTTTCTGGAGTGCTACGGTTCAATTGAATGTTTATAGGTATAACTCCCAATTAAAAAAATATCTGAAAACTTTTCAGTTACTTTAATACACGTGAACAAAAAGTACATCAATCACAACTGGTCACTTTTGGCCTTAATTAAAATGAATGACTTTGGAAATATTGCAGTCCACTTCTTTCAACTTTTTCTTCCACTAAGAGACAAACCAATCTAAAGATGTGACAAAAGTGGATTAAAAAAAATTGTCATAGGTAAGCTAAGAGCAGATAGTTTTGAATTTAACTTAATTTTTATTTGATTGTGCCTTTAAAATTAAAAAAAAAACACCCTATTTTTTCAGATTTTATTAAATGCAAGTCACACGAATACACATAAAGAGGACAACTGTTTAACAACACATAAAGATGAGCACAGCTCAGCCTCCAGGAATGACTGAGCAACATGCATAAAAGATCAATTAATTTTTCTCAGAAGTAAAATACATGTTTCAAAGAGTTTTAAAACTTAAGAAAGTAGCACATTGCATACTTGTAAAGAAAGAAAAAACTATTCCCTTTGGAAATACTTGGAAATAAGTTTTCATGGAATGCTGTAATTCCTCAAACAAGTATTCTGAGCTGGATTAACTGAATTAGGGAATTGGTACAACTGAATTAGAAGGACTGCATCTAAACTAGAGCCATCTTTTTTACTCTTGTACCAGAATTCAATTTTTTTACATCACAGCTTCCTGTTTTTTTCTGTATTGAAACCTAAATAAAACTGTACTTCACAAGAATTCATGGGCCATTTAGAGTGCTTTTGTTTTGCTGCTGATTTTGGTTTTCTGTTTTAGTAGTTTGTTTTCTGTTGGGTGGTTGTTTTTTTTTTAATTAAAACCCACTACCCTCAGCAAAGCTTTTTATTACTTACCTCTACTGATAATGCACTTTTTCTGACAATGCTAACACTGAAAAATACAAACCTTCTAGAAATACCTTACCCTCAGGAGTTTTAGTCTTTTAAGGTAGCAGCAGTGAGGCTATTACGCCAGAGAAAACTATATGCTTTTGATTGATGTTTCATGTTAAGACTGGCCTGAACTAATTCCAGCCTCTCACCTAATTCTTTCTCAGGAGTATGAATGGCACCAAATTTTTGGACAAAAACCAGGTAATAGTTACATTTACAAATAAATCCATTTCCTATTACATCCTAATGATGTACATTACAAGAATTATCCAGCGATCAAATGTCTGTTACAGGCTTTCAGGCTTGCAGTCGTGCACCTTTAATTCCTAACCCTGGAAGACACTACTCCTAATAATCTACAGTTCTCAAGTCACAGAACAGAGGCAGTGATGCCCTATGGTCCTGTACTGCCTACTTTTAAAAGGGTTACTATAAAAAAGTAACCGTATTAATCCAGTTTTAGTTTACACCATGATTATATATTTTTTCCTTAATAGTAGGCCCACTAACAAGCTCTTACAAAGATAGCCTGGGGAAGAGGACAGAAAACCCTGCCGATAAGCACAGATAAGAGAGCTCCACCTGCACTTTGAGGCCCTGCATTCTTCGTTTACTTCTTCCTTATTGCAGTACCCCAAGCACACCACCAGGGGGTGCCTTTCACTTTGCAACAGTACTTCAGAACAATGTAATCATGTATCTGAACTCTGTTTCTTATGCTTCATTGTTACTCACTACTACTAATAATAGTAACTTCAGTTTAGTAACTTGCACCCGGTTTCAGGCATAAGAACGTTACAGCAAAAGGACAGGATGGAAAAGGTATCCAGAGCCATGGAAATGTAAAGTTCTATGGTACAGGCCAATAGTAACAAAAATGAATCAGTGTTTCAGTACAAAAGTACAGGAAGCTTGTGAAAAAAAGCTTAGGTGCTGAAGGAGAGATTCTGAACAAAACAGCAGCACTCCTTCACATTTTGGACTGTCTGTGCAAATGCAGTGTTAATAAAATACCTGTCTTAGAAACAGAGGTAAGGAAACACCTCAGCTCCTACTGTGACAGTCACAGGCCTGGCATCATCTTGTTAAGGACTGGATTTCTGCTACTCAAGGAAAAGAGTCAGGAGTACAGTTCATGCATGTATGCTACTCTGCAGCTTATGCTAGTGTTGCCAGCTTGTCAATTAAATCATCAACAGTGTTCACAAGAAGCTTTGTATCCTCCTTCTCGCTCATGCGATGCCGGCCGCTTTTGCGGAGGATGACATCCACGTCCTTGCTCAAAACACGATCAGCAACTTGCATAGAGATCTGCCAAGGGACGTCATCATCCTTCATGCCATGAATGAGTCGGATGGGACACGTTATGGGAATAGGACTATTTAGCACACAGTGATTTTCTGCTTCTCTTATAAAGTTGTATGTCAAGGAGTAATACCCTTCCTCATTGTGCTTTGTTGGAAACTTCCATTCACCTTTTTCTTCTATTTCTTTTTGTGCCTGTAAAAAAGAACAGACAAGATGGATGTTATGAGTTCTTTAGAGTCCCTATTTCTGTTCTAAATGCAGCACAGCTTCCCTAAGCTTAAAATTTCACTTTGCCCATTTTTATTAGCAGACAAGGTATATTCCTGTCCACCTTCCAGTGTCTGAGAAGACAAAACCCCCACTATGTCACAAAAGCTAATCTGCACATCTCTCCTGCAAATGAACCTAGTTAGGATTCACAAAAGAAAAAATTTTCTCAGCTAGAATCTATCAGAAAGAAAAAGAGGTACAGCCACAATAAACAGGAAGTCTCTGGGGCTTCAATCAGTTCACTGACTGCAGACAAGGAGAATCCTAGGAAATTGTCCAGTGATCAGCCTTTTCAGTCTTTGCCAAAGTAGCGGTGTCTAAACATTCTATTTCCAGAATCCTACCTTAGTCTTAAATAGCAATACTGACACTACACAGAGCCTTACAAAAAAAAACAAAAATAAAAAGATCAGGATAATATTTTATTCTGAAGTATGAGCTATTTGTTGCCATGTTTGTCACATTGTAACACCCTCTTTTCCTGAAGACTGGACACCACCATAATCAAGGAAGCAACTCAGAAAGACTTCCCACCATGCTGGTCTGAAGAATTCCCCTTCTATACAAACAGCCTGTGTCAGATTCATGTCATTCAATGTCATCTCAATTGCTTTAGCAGCTACTTCCTTGAAAGCACAAGTATTCAACTATAATGCAAATATGAGATGTTCAACAGTGAAATATAAAAGGACTGCACAACTGCAGGGATCTGACTTCATGTCCTATATGCCACAGTAATAATATAAACACATTCTAGGTAGTGCTCAAACGAGCTCCATACTAGGAGCACAGTATTTTGCAGACTTTTGGATCAATGTAAATTTTTGGCTTACCTCCACCACAAACACAGAAGAATTATCAGAAGATTTGCAGGAAAACTACCATCTGAACAACAGAATTTTTTAAATGCTTCATAGAATTTTTTTTAGATGCCACAAAAGCAAATAATCAGCATTTACCTCAATTGGAAGCTTCTTAAAAGTTGTTATGAGATGGTCTGCTGCTACAGCTACTCCAACTAGAGCAGCTACTTTTTCTGGTCGTGCTATTGCAGCATGAATCATCAGCCATCCACCCAAGCTGGAGCCCACCAGAATCTTAAAAGAGAAAAAATAAGATATTATATTATAGGAAACAGCTAATTATATTTTTTCTTATACAAAACATCAGTTTTCATTTCAACTACTTAATCCTTGGGCATAATCCTGCTGTCCTTACCCAGGCAGAACTGCTGTCACTTCCAGTAGAAATTTTGCCTGAGTAAGCACCACAGGATCTGGCATAATTATTTTTTTTTTAATTTTTTTTTTGGTCATGGCTGGTTGTTGCTGAGACTGAAACACTGTAAACAAAATGAGAATTGAAATAATTCAGTATTACATGCGTACATTATGTTTCCTTCTTAAAATAAATGCACATGGTAAAGGTTCAGTGCAGCAAAAGCAGGTCAACAAAAGCAAACCATAACACAAATTGTTTTAAAAACAATACTAGGCATTTCCAGGTTGCAGGAGATTTCAAGTTTCTTAGTCATTTCTAAAGTAATTGAAAAAGTCAAATGCTGCTTCTGCTGATTTTTAAAAAACTATTTTATCATATAGAGCATATATTAACTTGTAACATTCCTGCAAATCCTTTTATTAAGGTGGAACCTCCACCATGAGGCTTTCTCAGACTCCAGGGGACAACATCACTGCTCTGAGAAGGAGGCTCTAATAAACAACCTCCAGAAGGTCCCACCAAACCACCTTTCCTGGATTCTGTGATCTACCTGCTTGCAGAAGAAGTCCTATGAATAGGACCTCTTACATTATTCACTTGAAAGCAAGCAGGTGTAAACTGTTAAATGGAAGCTACTGTTGACCAGAGCTATTATGGCATATTTTTGATTAATCTTCTACTTACTATATAACCATACCATATTTAAAATTAAAATATAACCTGTGGTCCATCTGTAAGTTCATCCAGTATACAAAGAACATCATTTCTCCACTTCCCAATTGTACACTCCTCAAGGTTACCATCTGAACTTCCACATCCTGTAAAATCAAATCTGAAAAAGTAACCATCAAAATGAAACTCATGGTACTGTCTGCAGCAAAATAGAAGCTAAATAAACAGCACCAATGAATCAAATCAAGCAAGGGACAAGATACTGCACTGGGTATTTCATTACCTGGTCCTGCATATCACTAGCATCAAAAATCACAAGAAAAGAAGTTTAAATACAGCAGATACAATTAATTGATGCACCACTTTCTTGCTATTTGATGCAACAATACCCAAATTTAACAGGATATGCCCCTGACAAACAATTTCCCTTACAGTCCAAACTCAATATGCTTCAATTTCAAAGATATATTTAAAATTCACAAACTCTCTTTTTTTTTGTCTCTTTCAAACACTGTTCCCAACTACAAAGATTTCTGATACTCAGCACTTGACCTAGTCTATCAAGGACAGTATCACCAAGTACATGCCTGTTCCTCTAAACCCACAGAAGGCACTGGACATCTTCAAATGCTTTGAGAGTCAAGAAGCCCTCTTATAGTGATAATTTACAGAAATTAGAACTACAGGTGCTAAACCAAATTTTTTCCATGTTTTCTTTCCTTCCTTTTTCATTTTTGTGCCCGTAGCCTTAATAAAACACATAGTATAGACTACAGAAAATTATCAGAGAATTTCCCGAATTACTTTTAGAATACATTCTCCTGATTTACCGCAGTTTCTCTTCATGTAGACAGAAAGCCTACATTTGAAACGGAAGAAAGACACTTCTTAGCTTGTGTACAATACAGTGAGCATTCTAAACCAAACACCAAAGTTTACATCCTTTTGGCAAAATCCCTTCCCCCAGCCCATGACACTTTTTTTCTCAAGAACAACCCTGTTAATGTACCTGACGAAGGCATGACCTAGAGAGTTGCAGAAATCTTCAAGGGCAGTTGCTTTCTGACCGTTCATATTTGAATTAAAGCCTGGAAGGAAAATAACCCCTGGATTCCTGCCTTTTAGTTTATGATAAGCAAGTTTTGGCCGATCTGGTCGAGTAAGAAAGCTGATCGATGATTTCAGCCTGTGAACTAATAAAAAGAGCTATTTAGTACAATCCTCATGTTGGCAGAAATACTACTAATTTATAAAATTAGGATTCAGGAAATATGGGCATATAATGTGTAAAAAAAGATACTCTAGCTCAAGAGAAAGAAGTATCACCTATACTTCTCAATGACTACTAGTATTGATCAACCTGACAGGGAAGGCTGATTGTGATTGATGTCTAGTGATAGGACAAGGGGCAGTGGGTGCAAACTGGAATACAGGAGGTCCCATGTAAACATCAGAAAAAAACTTTACTGTGAGAGTGACAGAGCACTGGAACAGGCTGCCCAGAGAGGTTGTGGAGTCTCCTTCGCTGGAGACATTCAAAACCCACCTGGACACGTTCCTGTGTGATGTGCTCTGGGTGACCCTGCTCTGGCAGGGGGGTTGGACCTTTCGAGGTCCCTTCCAACCCCAAAGATCCTGTGATTCTGTAATTCATTCTCAAATCATCAAAAGCCAACAATGCAAATTCACTCAGGAATTGGCTGACTGAAGACAAATGCTATGATTTCCCGTATTTCATCTGTCCTCATGTTTTATACCATCTGGAAGAATTTACTCATTTCACATGAAATAATATTTTTTCATCATCTTAGTATAACTTTCTATTTTTGCTTTTTGTTTTTCTAGACTAAATTTAAAAAAAAATAATAATTTTGAGACTAAAGTACTGTATGCAATAGTAATGTTAAAAGTATATAAGGTAACAATTTTTTAATGCAAAAGTAAAACTGAAGGTCAAAACTTCATCTGTGTCAAACCCCCAAATCCAGAAAATCTATAAAGGAGGTGTACAACAGCAAGTTAAAAGGTGGGAACTGGCAAAAAAAAATCTTGTAACTTTCTCAATAGGATTAAAATAAAACAACTTTAGCATTGTTTAAAATCAAATTAAATAAATAACATCTAGCCTTTTTCATAATATAATCTACAGCTATTTCTGCTTAAAGATTATTACGAGGAACACTGAAAAACTAGGCTCATTTTAACACTATCTCAACATCACTCTTTTTCTCAGATATAAAGCACAGAAAGTAAAAACAAACAAAAAAACCCCCAAACCCAAAGCTATTTTCTGTCAAAAGAGCAAGACATTAAAGGCATCACATAAGAAGACAGAGGTGACGACTGCAGAGCTATGATCTTCTCACGCATCTCCAAAAGAGGCACAGATATCCCACTAAGTGATTTGGTGTATTCTTGCTGGAGAGCCTACATTATTCCAGTATTCAAACTGTTCTGTTTATCCAGAATGAAATCACTCTTAGCCAGCCTTAGTATTTTGCAAAGGCTTTAAAAATGGAAGATAATTTAGTGCAACTTCTGCCAAAGTAATCTGCAACATATCACGTGAGAGTTTTCCTGCCAGCTTATACTTGAAATTATTTGGTTTTTAGTTCAACATAACAAGCCAGATACATTTGGAAAGCAAACAGTAGGTTGGACTCTTGTTATTCACATTACTAACCATCAAAAAAATCCTGAATTGGTCTTAAACAATGAAAAAATATTAACAAAAGAAATGCTAGCTAATAAATAAATATGCTGAATCTCAACAGCTGCCACAGTATTCAGCGTTTAACAATCAACTGTACCTCTCCTGTGAGGGCAACTGGTTGAGAGGTGTTATCAAGACCTAATCTGCTCTATTATCCCACTCAGCAAGATAATCTGTTAAACTGAAAGCTTGGTCGAGACTTTCAAGGCTTTCACATTCTTAATCCTTAGATTAGAAGACGACTGGTTCTTTCACACTGCAAATCAATAGTGGGGTGCAAAACTATACAACACCAAATACATCAGGTCTTCCTAGTGGTATGACTGGATAAATCCTCCAAAAAAGGGCCATGCAAGTATCACATCAGATACATTTAAGAAACACTTAAATGTTCCACAGCTTTGAGTTCTGTTTTCCCACTGTCAGAGAGAGTAGATTCAAGAGATTTTGGGGGGTTTGCTTGTTTGTTTTTAAACTTGCATGTGCATAAGTAGATGTGGATGCACAGATGAAGCAGGATGAGGCTGGTATTCAGTGCATGGAAACAATTCCATTTGAACTAGAGGTTAAAACCATTAAATCTTTACTGAAAAGATGGGACAGTTATTTATCCTACTGATGCACCAATTATTATAAAGGAGAATAAATGCCACAGTAAAGGTCTATCTATTCAGATGCATCCATGCTACAGCTTTTGGTTTGTGTATGTCTCTATCAGTGAGCCAGTCACTTCTTTTCCTATTACCTGCCAGTAACAGAGGAGATACAACAAGAGGTGCTAAACCTGTCAGAAGAAGAATTGGGAGTATTTTTTTTCCCTCCTTAAGCCTGGATAACCACCTCTGAAGCCACTGGTTTTACATCATGCAGCACCCTGCAGGAGCCCTCAAACCATTCTGACACTTGGGTAGGCTTTCAGCTGCAGCTACAAGACACAGCTGTTACCTGAGTGACTTCACACACCAGTATTCCACATTTAATGAGCTACTCTAAGCTCACCAGCAGCAACCCTAACCTGAATAATGCAAAACCCTCAAGCAACCTTCCCAGCCAATCCAAAGGCAAGATTCACTTCCCTTTGGACAGTCAAAAACACCAATAACTGAACAGCTACCCAGAAACTTCTCCTCCTCTTTTCAGGGAAAGACCTTGGTAAGAGCAGGGAAGCACCTCTGAGGGGTGCAAGGTGGTACTTGGTGGGAAGGGAGGGAAGGAAGCATAAAAAACTCCACTGTATTCAGGTTTTTAAGCAGATACAAAATGCCACCCTCAGTGGCATGTACGTTTTACTCATTCGTACAGTGAGTAGCCTCAGCTGAACTACCTCATCACCAAGAACAGCTGTCAGAGTTAAGGCAACGGATGCACTGGACAGGTCAGAGAAGGGGCACGACGCGTTTGGGAAGAGGATCAAACGCGGACGCCAGGAAAGCTGCTCAGGTCCCCGAGGAAGCCACACACGCGTCCCACAAACCCAACTGGCCCGATCCCTCGTATTTCCAGCTCCTCAGAAAGCAGCAGCAGGAGCTTAAAGGAGCCGAACACAGGTGGGAAACCAGTTGCTCTGCAGGGGTCTGCGGGGCCTGCTCTCCCCTGTGCGCACCCCCCGCAACACCCCCCGCAGGCTCTGCGGGGACGGAGGGCCCGCATCGCCCCGCATCGCCCCTATCCCCGCCAGCGGGAACGCGCCCCGAGCACCACAGGGGGGTCGGGGCGGGGGGGGGGGGGTGGGCCCACGCCTGG